TTTTCACTAAAATGTTAATGTTTTTATTTTAAAGTTTTCATACGGCGACTATTACGTTGTCTTAATTTTAACTTTCACTTACTTTTTTTACAACGCTTCTAAAATATATTTTAATGAGCAGTATCAACTTAGATGATATTGACTTTTAGAACTGATAAAAACTACCTTTTTGCTGTTGATATTGTTTCGGTGTTTTTACGAGCACGTATAAATTCATCATACCAGTCAATAATAGTTTATTTTCCTAGTGCAGACTCTCCATAACGCTCACCAAGCCACGTTCTGGCTTCAATAATATTTTTTCACATCAAAAAACAATGTTTAATTAACACACCTAATTCGTTTATATCCATTGTTTTAAAATTTACAAAAACGGAGTCACTAAAACCGCTATAACCTTTAAACTAATAATAAGAATGTCATGAAATTTTGACATGTATTGTCTGAAAGATGCAAAAATTATATGGGATTGTCATCAGTGTTGTGTGTAAGACTTATTGAATTATGTGTTATAAAATGAATAGATATTAATTTACGAAATTAAGATGTAATTAAGACTTTTCAATGGTGGCCAAGCTCCTTAAGAGTCGAGCCATTTTTCAAAATTTGAAATTTTTCGCGAGCCGGAATTAAATACGTATTTAAAAGGTATGCAATAAAGGTATTAAAATTTTTTTTTACATAAACTATATTTATGTAGAACATGTAAGTAAAAGTGCAAAATATGTGTATTGAATTTAAATATTAAAAATTAAACACATTTATTTGACTTCTCTTGAAAAATTTTTAAAATTTGATGAATAATTGGTGACAGCGCTTCTCAGTAATTCTGTGAGATGCTGGTTAGTTAATACTGATCGGTGTTTGAATTTCACATAAGTATTAACGTTTTAAAGTGGAATAAAATGATTCACATAAGTACATTGTTCCGAATATTGAAATAATTCTACAATCAGCCTTTCTTAATTCAGGATACTTCGATTCTGGTACAAATTTCCAAAATTCAGTAATCGACGTCGACTTATATTTTAATCTTCTTGCATCTCTATTAATTCTAATTCTTCAGATGCTTTTTGGGTCATAATTATATTGGAAATGGAAAACACTCACCTTGAATAGAGCAACGTTGCACTTAGTCTTTCATATTTGTTCTCAGTAATTTAAAAGACATTTTGAAACACATACGGAACGATGATAATTTTTTAAAAATATAATAGCACAAAAATGAAAGAAAAGGGAACTCGGGTACATTTATCAAGAGCCACAAATAATTCTTCAAAGAGCCGCATGTGGCTCGCGAGTGGCAGGTTGGCCACCCCTGTTATATATAGTGTTTATGAATTTAAGATCTGTTTTGTGCTGTTTAAGGCATTTTAGAGGAAGAATTTCTATAGAGCAAACTTTTACCGAGTGACTTTGTTTCATAGAGGCTGTAAGGCGTGTGGCATAATATAGACAAAATGGACGATATGTAGTGAATCATCCACTATCATTTTTACGCATGGGAGAATCTTACTTTTTATAAATTGTATTAAAGATAAGAACAAACATATATTTTTTTTAAATAAAGTATGCATTTTTTCCTACAAATAGTGATCACGCAAACACCAATAATTTTAAATGTTTATCACCAAGGAAACTTAAAAAGGCGATCGAAATCTATTTTTCTACGTTCCAAATAAAAATTTTAGGTATTCCACTTCCTGTTCAATTTGCGTCTGCAGGATTTGTACGCACCAGGAAAAAATTAAAAAGGGGTAGTAATTTTTTTTCTGGTGAACCTTGCTTTTCTTACTTCGAGTGTCCTTGATTTCAAAAAGAAGAAAATCTTAGATAAGTAAATCAAAGGCCATAAATTCTACTAATCCAAGGGGCTATTTATGTGAAGCCTCCAAAGCATTGTTTTTTAAAGATACACCTCCGTACAACATCTAAATTCAATGGATGAACGTTTAAATAGAAAGGGGGCAATTTCAAGAAAAGGTTATTGGCAAGGTTTTAAAACTAGACCAGTAGCTTGATTTTTATTTCTTTTTTTAAATAGTATTTTTTCTTAAACTGTTGAGAGGATCTTCTCAACTATTTCCTCAGATTGTTACATTTAAATTAAAGATTATTATACATAAAGATCAAAAAAATTTTATTGTATTAACAAATTGTTGACCTTATGACGAGTTAACTGGTCTTTGAGCGATATAGAATATTCCAAAGTTAAATATTCTTTCATTCAGTATAAATAAAATGTATTGGAGTTTGCTTAGAATTTCTATATTCAATTACAAAATAGTTTTCTGTGACATGACATAGTTTCTGTGCAAAATTGTCTAGCAACAAATGTAAAAATACAGAATCACAGGTTTTGATTCTATTAGGATAAAATTTAGATCATTTCGCAAGGTTACCATAGTATCCATAAAATTACTTTTTGATCTTCTTATTCAATTATTGGCTTACTATAAAAACTCGTTAAATGTTTTTAGCCAAGGAAATTAATTTTAGCAATAATATGAAAAATCTTAATACTCTCTTAGAATTTTAAATAGTATTTATTATTTTAATAGCATATGTTGAGTGAATAAAGTTGTTTTAATTGAAAGTAAATATACCTGATTAAAAAGAATATATTTACCTTTCAATAAATACTAGATGGTGACTAAATATCATAAAAATATATATCTATAACAATAATATTGCACGATTACTTTTTAATATCCATAATCTTAATAAAATAGATTTAAAATTTACCGTTCAATGAAACGTACATAAATCAATTACATATGAACCTTTAATTATTTTACGACAACCAAAGAAATCTGAAAAATCTAAATTGGAAACAGGGTCGTAACATGGGATGTTCAAAGAGAATGTGCGTCATCAAATTTATTTTACTTTCAAATCATGAATTCAAAAATACTTGATTGCCATTTTGAGAGGATTATTCGAATAAAAGATATTTTTTTGGTTCGGTTCTAAGTCACAAATGTTTTGTTTATACTAAATTATCTTTGAAATAATGAAAACATTATAAACGCCTTAATATATATCAAAATTTAAAAAAGAGAATTTTATTAAAGAAATAATTTTTGATATTCCATAGTTAATGTCAGTGTCATACAATAACTATTTTATGTAAGTGCAGTATTAAGATATCATATATGTATTTAGCGATGTCTCGTGACTCATTATTTTAATGCAGGGTTGAGCTGGTTAGTTTAAACCTAACGATTTTTAAAAAAAAATCTTTTGAATAATATTTTTCATATTTTTTTATTCAGAGGAATGAACTTTTCACGCAATTTTGAGTTTAATTGCTGAAGTGAATTTGCGTCACTTCAGAGAAACATAAATATGCAATTTTAAAATGTTTACATATCATTACGTTCCTGAAAAAATGTCCATTTAAAATAAATTAAAGTGAGCAAGTTTTATAGGGTAAACTAACCAGTGAAGGAACACTTAAACTTCGCTTGCCTTTTAAAAAATCATAATAATTTCAAAATTCGTAATTTTAGTTAAATGACAGTGTCAACATATTTGTTACTAATTGCAAACTATGTAAAAAAAATTGTAGAGAGCTTACATTATATTGTTTTAAAGTTTTGGAGGTTCAAATAACAAGTAGTAAGGAGACCAAGTGAAGGAACAGTTCTTACCAGTGAATGAAAACAAAATTTCCCTGTAAAGGAACACTTAATTTTGGTTATTTTTTAATGCTCTTTATGAATTTATATGCCATACAAATATCTAAAAACAAGCCTATTCTTGAAATTATAACATACAAATACTTGGAAAATGTTAACTTTTTTTTTATAATCATGAACTGAAAATTAAGGTGCCAACATATTAATACATACTGTTCATTCACTGGGAAATCTATGCCCAGTAAAAGAAAATGCCTGTTCCCTCGCTGGTTAGAAGTTGTTTTTTGTATTTTAAACATAATTTTGATGCGGAACATCACTAAAGGTACAAGAAAATTAAAGTTTTTCTTTTATTTTCATTAACTTAGAAAAAAAAACAGTAAAGGAACACTTGTTCCATCACTGGTTTTTCATCGTTTGGTATCCAGTAAATAAACGCCCCCTTATCTCAGTACTTGCTTATGCTATGATGCTTAAAATAAATAAAACGTAACTTAAACAGCTATATTTTGAATTATTTTTCACAGTGAGAAAAATAAAACTACTACATACAATTAATTCCATTTTAAACAGATAAATACAAGCACTCACCTTTTAATTTTATCAACGAAACAAGGTGTTGCACAGATAACAAATTCAAAACATTTTCCAGAGAACACTATGTGACCAGGTAATCCAATACATTGTTAGATGACTTCCTATTGTTTGGCAGTAAGCTATTGTTACCAATCAATCTAAAGAAAAACTTTCAAAATCTTATTTTTGATCAATATATATGAAATGTTCCTTCACTGGTTGGTTTACCCTACTTAGTCAAAGTTTCTAGAAATGCTTCATCACCACTAACACTTTATTTTTAAAAATTAGTTAAAATAAGAATGTGCATTGAAAGATATTTTAGTAACTGTTTAGTTTCACAAAATAATTCATACCTTTTATTATTTGTTCTACCTTTATGTTTATTGAATTTATTATTTTATTTAACTTCCATAGTTTTGAAAATTATTTCATTATTTGAAGATTACAACTGTATAGTATCTAATTTTTTTTTTTTTTAACTAAGCATAATTTAAAAATGCTTTGAGTTTTTGGGGAAATCAAAATGTGTTTAAATTTGTTAAAAATGTTTTATTTTATGTCTGTGGAGTTTTTTTTTTTAGGTTGTTTTTAAACATTATGGCATGCTATTAGGGTCTAAAACATTTTTGTGCCCGGGGGCCCTGCATGCTATTAAGACGCATAAAAACGAAAATCTTTTCTTGAAATTAAGAAAATGCGTGATCAATAAAAAGCACAACTCTTGCTCACCTTCAAACTAAAAGCAACAAGTGTTGTGGGAGTGTTTTGAAACCACCAATGTGCAATCATGTCTGAAGGCAGTGTTTTTGATAAGGAAGGTGGAGTTTCTTTTCTCCGCTCGTTACTCACGTTCACTCATATCGTCAAATGGAATGCTCAAATTCGATAGTGAGTATTTTTTATTTTTTTAGAATAACCACAAGCTTTTTATTCCTTAACAAACAAATATTTTTACATTTTCTGAAAAAAAGGACTCGTTAAATGGAATATTCTAGTTCCAAAGTAATTTGTGTTGATAAGTACAAACTTTTTATTCTTTAACACTATACGCGAGTATATTTGGAAGAAATGAAACTCATACCGTAAATTGAAGTGCTCAAATTCCGTTGTGAGTATTATTTTTTTTCTAATAAGTACGAACTTTTTATTCTTTAACGCTACACGGGAATATTTTAACAAATTGAAAAAAATGAAACTGATATCGTAAATTGAAGTGCTCTAATTTCGTTGTGAGTATTATTTTTTTCTAATAAGTGTGAACTTTTTATTCTTTAACGCTACAAGGGAATATTTTAACAAATTGAAAAAAATGAAACTGATATCGTAAATTGAAGTGCTCAAATCCCATTGTGAGTATTAATTTTTTTCTATTAAGTAAGAGCGTTTTATTCTTTAACGCTACACTGGAATATTTTAATAAATTGAGAAAAATGAAACTGATATCGTAAATGGAAGTGCTCTAAGTCAATTGTGAGTATTATTATTTTTTTCTAATAAGTACGAACTTTTTATTCCTTAACTCTATGCTGGAATATTTAAACAAATGGAAAAAAACAAAACTGATATCGTAAATTGAAGTGTTCAAATTCTGTTGTGAGTATTAATTTCTTCTAATAAGTAAGAGCGCTTTATTCTTTAACGCTACACGCGAATATTTTTACGTCAACTGAATGAAATGAAGCTGATCTCCAAAATCGGAATTATCAAAACTCCATTGTTATTTCTTTCTAATAAGTGCAAACTTGTTATTCTTAAACACGACCGATATCCTGATTAAATTTTTCGGCTCTTATTTTCCAGATTGCAGCTCCCTACAATCCAGCGAAATTAAAGTACCCTTTTATTTTCCCCCTTATATATTGAGAGTTAATAATTCCGAAGCCACCAAAAAATTTTATGTTTATTCAAAGAAAGTACGTTTTTATGTCTGATTTTGTATTTTTAAATATCGTCTACCTAAATTAATTGAGTTTGGTCTTCGAACCAGAAAGTCGTGAAAATCAGATCATTTACTCAGAAGTTAGTTTTCTTACGCACTGTATAGGTGGATTGAAATAGCTATAAAAGAATTAAAAAAGAAACTATGGGTTTTATAAAATGTTAGGAAAAATTTAACGTCTCTGCTTTTATTACAGCGATTGTTAAAAAAAAAAAAAATTCACGCAAAGCGCAATGTAAAAAAATGGTTATGATAAACCTGGAAATGCTCCGAGTATATAAATTGAAGAATACATAGCGGATCCCGTTGTAATTCTTAATAATCCGTTGTAATTCTTGTAATGTATAAACCTTAATTGAGAACATAAATCAATCACTTATTTGAGGATTTTCTTAAGAGGATTAAGGGGTGGGGATCAATCTTTCCTATAAATTATCTAAAATTTTACTTCTGAATTTTTTACAGGAGTTTACAGAAATTATTAATTTAATTTTCGTTAAAGAAAAAAAAAATAATTACAAACTACTAAAAATAACTTTTATTAAGCAATATAATATGCTTTTTTTTTCACTAGCTCAAAAAAATTTAAAAGTATTCTTTAAACTGAAATCTGGATTTTTATGAAGAAAAAAATATTTTGACCAAAAAAAAACACATAACGTTTAAAAATATTCAAGTGCTACTATAAATTTAATCAACATGCAAACAATGAGAAAGTTTTAACGTAATAAATTTATTAGAAGTCGAGTTATCTAGCATGAAAAAAATTAGAATTAAAAAAACAAAACTTTTCATAAAATACAAAAATACGATTCTAATTTAGGTGTGTTATTTTCAGTGACTAGGTTTCAATATTTTAACAAACTTCTTTCCTTCTCTAACTTCCAAATTTTTTGGTATCAAATTGCTCAAAATAAAGCAGGTAATAACATCAAAAAATTTCGTTAAGAAAACTCTATGCTACATATGAATTGATTAGAAAAAATTCATAAAAAAATGAAAAAAGAGTCATCCAAAGAAATTGGACATCTACATGACAAATTGGAGCTCTAACCTCTGCCCCATCCCGCTATGCAGTGGAAAGATGTATAAAACTAGACTGTTGGAGAACTCCTAGAATGCATTGAGGTGACACATAAGAAAGTTATCAATTTCGTCAAGTATTTTTGAGAATTCTTTTTACAAAAAAAATCTCGTAATTTCGTTACAAAATTTTAAAAAAAATTTACAAAATACAGCTCTAAGATTGCTAAATCGTTAAAAACAAGGGTTTAATTTCTAAGAGTGCAACCTGTAGAATTTTTGGTATTAAAGTAAATAACACTATTTCGAGAAGCATTGGCTAATTAAAAAGATTTTATAAAATGCATTATAATAATATCCCCGTATATACCAACTTTTGCGAATGGCTGAATTTATCAACTGCTTATAGGATTGCAAATTTGTCGCATTTCCACAAACTATTAATATTTTTCTATTTGCGCAAAATTTATTCAAAATGTGATATTTTTTGATATACATAAATTACGTTTTAACGGCAATTTGTTCTTTTCTTAAGCATTATAATTTTTATTCATTATTTACATTGCATTGTTTATAATGCATAATTGATACAAAAATAGTTTAGAGTCGTAGTTTTTCTTCGATATTAGACAATGCTCTCATCCCATTTCATTTAAAATCCAGTTGTTTTAAGTAAACTGTTTTTGAAATCATTGGTAACTAAACATAATCATAAGAGTAATAGTTTTTCTTCGTTATTAGACAATGTTCTTACCCCATCTCATTTCAAATTCAGTTGTTTTGAGTCAACTGCTTCTGAAGTCATTAGTAACTAACCGTAACTAACTATAATTCCTAACTATAATCTCTAACTTAATCATAAGAGTAATAGTTTTTTCTTCGTTATTAGACAATGCTCTTATCCCATTTTATTCAAAATCCAGTTGTTTTGAGTCAACTGTTTTTAAAGTCATTAGCAACTAAGTATAATCATAAGAGTAATAGTTTTTTATTCGTTATTAGACAATGTCTTTATTCCATTTCATTTCAAATCCAGTAGTTTTAAGTCAACTGCTGCTTTTGAAGACAAAAATAATAATCATGCTTTCGTATTTCAAAATTTTCAAATTTTTTCATGAATCTGTTCCTATCAAACTTGCAACCCTAACTATTATTCACGAAATAATTGGGTTTTATGAACATATATATATATATATATACATATATATAT